GATGGAATCCTCAACGCTGAATAGGTTGTGTCTGAAAATGCCTCTGTTATGAGATTATTCGGCGCTCAAAACGGAGGCTCACAACCAGTATCAGCCAAAGCATCTGCAAGCGTTGGAAAAATCTTTCGAGTCCGAATAGTGACCCAGGTACGCTGAAACGTACAATTCGTACACCCGGCGGACCAGAGATTGGAAAGATCGACTACCAGTGTTACGATGTAGCAAGAAAAAACACGTCAGAAGATGTACTGGGCATGAGTTAAATTGTTAGACGTCGAAGTGCCCCCGAGCGCGTTGGGATCTTAGACCCAATCCGAGTCGGAGCTCAGTCAGAGGTGACATCGACATGAATTCATGAAGCGGCTAAAATTACAGGCAGAAGGAGTCAAATCGAGTGGGCTGAGTCGATACTTTCGTCAACGAGGAACCCTCCTGTTGTAGTTTCAGAGACACCTCTCGTCGACGTCAGCGTCGAGATACACACGCCAATCGCGACACGGTGCAGGTTCAGGATAAGACTGATTGTCAGTGGGGGATATCGGACTCTCGATGCGTTGAAGGTGCTAGTTCTTCTGGACTTGACACGACGTCCATCGGAGCATTCGGAATATGATTCTTACCTGGATTTGAGAGCCACGACCTGTCGTAGCTGGTACTTAGCAGCCTTTCATCTTGCCCCGAGGCCCTGATGGCATCGAGTTGCGAATAAAGAAGAGATCGGATTGGCGTGAACTTATGCTCCCGGTTGGTTCCTGGCCTTCTTGTGGCGGTCACGGACCTTGATCATAAGGACTTGGCAGAGCTTGAGTTACTTGACGCCCAATGACCAATTCCTTTGGCCACCGAGTTCTCGAGTACTTCATTTTTTTTGGCCGCTGGAATCCGCCAACAAACGGCTTCAATATCGCCTCCCACGGGGGCAGAAGTTCAGAGCAAATTAGCAGCCGCACGGGAAATTGAATCGGAACGAAACAATACCTGCGGACTCCAGTGTGTAGCAGCGAACAAAAATTTGCGAAAACATCAACACATTCGGGTACTCCCTGAGCTGGTGGACAGTGGGCCAGGATCCAAAGCTCGCGCAGAGGGAGGGGACAGCGACGGTCATTCAGGGGTGAGCGCAAAATTGGTACCATTTGAACTCCGAGTTCCCCCAACCACGAATCGGATATGGAGGATGCAAATCATTTCGCATTTTGTTACAGAGAAACAGAAGTTGAATGCTCAAAATAAGGTTGCGAGGGAATTACACCAAGCAGCGATCACGTCGTTGATTCGCACGCTCACTGAAAAGAGCTGAAAAAGACAAGATGTTAATCAACGAGAGGGTGAGACGATGCACTACGACGTACTCAAGCAGCAAAGTTAATTCCACTGTGAGTAAAAGAGCCAATCATCCATGGCAATGGACGCTTTTACTCCGCGGAGGACAACAAAGTCGAGCCCGTCCTCGCGAAGAGCGCTGATGCCACTGAGTACCTGTACGTCGGGACTGGGACGCGAATCTATGCACAGCCCAGCACTTCTGAGGGTGCAAGAGTTCGCTTTCCAGCGGTAGTTCACCAACGCCAGGTACGTTGCATAATCCAGGAAACCGTTGTCACTGCATCCAAAAGACAAGCGGCGCAGATGGGGGGCCACTATTTTGCCACCAGTCTCCTCGTTATGGAGGATCTCCATCAATATCTTCGCCTCGGTACTTGCAGCAAAGGAGGCAGTTATGACTGCAAACTCGACGATGGAATTGAACTTCTGTAAGAACCCGGCTATCTTGGGAGCGTTACTGCAACCTTGGATGCAAAGCTTTCGAATAGGACACGACGAGCGCGCGATAGAAGATTCAAGATGAATGAGGGCGTTCCCGTGGTCCAGATACATTGCGATTTCCTCCAAAAGGGGGAACTTGAGGAAGGTTAACGCAAACGGATCGGAAACATTTAAACGGCGAAGAGACAGCAGCTCGATGACTCCACCTGGCCCTGGCCAAAGGTTTCCGTCGAACGAGACGGTGACGCAGGCCTCGACAAGATTTTTGGCCAGCTTCAATATGCCCTGATGAATGTCCCGAGGGGCGTCGAGCTCGTAACGGGTGAGTTGCTGCACCGGAAAGGGAACCGGCGTAAACGAGAATTCATTACGTCCACCAGAGAAGGCGCCGATTCGAAGCAGTCGACAGAGTCCGCGGACTCCTGGCTTTCTCGAGTATCCCACTGGAACCACAGTCTACGCAGCAATGGGACGCGACCGCGAAGGCTAGCCAGGAGAGGGAAGTGAGCCGAAGTCACGGTAAGACTGAGTTCCTCCCATCGTAAAGCGTGCTTCGCCAGGCACCGGAAGACTTCCAGCTGTGGAAAACTGTCGGTTGCTTCACACCCATGGAAATGGACTTTCAAGTTGTGCCCGGCCCGCGCGATCTGAGTCTCAACCATGGGCAAAGGATTCGAAGTCCACGGATCCCGATCGGGCTGATAAACGATTGCTACGAGTGACCACAGCGAAGGTGTTGATATGGCGGTGATCCTCCAGCGGCAGCTGACATGTGTCAACACCCACGGGCTATCTGTTATACAGAGAGTCTGATGGCGGACTAGCTTTCTCGGGGATGGTAACGTCCAAGAGAATATTTCCGCAAGCACCTCGGGTGGCATTCGCCGAAGCGGAGATAGTAGTGCGCAGTTCTGCGCTCGGAAGCGCAACAAGGAGCCTTGCTCTTCCTCCAGGCGTTGCAAGCGATCCCGGAGCTGCGCTATCTCGTTCGCAAGCTAGGTCGAGCGTTCATCGGCTTCTAAAGTCGCGGCTTGGATAAGAGCAACGTCGGCGTCAAGGGGCGGTTTGTTCGAGTTCAAAAGGATGTGGTGTCGTGTTCCTGGGGCAGCGTCCATCCGTCGTGCTCCTGGCGCAGGCTCCGTCTTCGAAGTCACCTCGGTCGCACCGACCGCAACGGCACCACATCGGTGGCATGGCGCAAGCGGGTCCATCTAGTTCGTGTAGATAAGCGCTGGGCCGAATCATTACGGGCTCTTTCACCTGAGCGCGAAAGCGACGGTGGCCGTTGGTGGAAACGAAAGGATGATGAGCACGCAGCTCAGTCGCATCAGATTTTTGAGCACGGGACGATAATGATTTGATGATCTGATGTCTGATGGCCGCAGGTCTGCCGTGAAGTTCAACTTCAAACGCTACAGCGCCCTGCAACTTCCAAAAATCTCGAAGCCCAGCCAACATGCAACAGGTGTACACATCTGTCGGACTCTGAGACCGGTAACTCAACAAAAAAAATTGATCCGGAGGCCAACCGGAGGTGTCACGGTATAGTTTTTGTCTGCGGGCCATTTTGCGAGCGGAGGGAGACGCACGGGATCGCATGGCTCATGCTGAAATTGCTGGGGAAGGTCTTCCAAAGAAAAACAGGTATACATAGGCTATACAGCTCGATACTCCTCAAGAAACGCAAATCCAAATTCTGTGGATCCGAAACACTGCCAGCACTGTTTCGGATCCACTAGTAGGGTCGTCGTTTCAGGTAGAAACCTCCTTCTTTTCCCGTGTTTGCGCTGGGGAAGGCCAGAGGCACCAACTCACGCTGGGAATTGGTTTTCCTTTCTCTTCTCTCCGTCGTCCACTTTGCAATGATTTGAGCTGCCCTCACTTGGGAAGTCAAATGTCAAACTCCTCCGATAAATCATCCAGTTCATCAAAGTCCTCAGTCGCGCCCAGTAATCGCATAGATCGCACAGGAGCTCCAAGCCTCCGACGTTCACAGTGCGCACTTATCCCGAGTAGTGAGGTGAAAGTTAACACCTCTCGTCTCTTTGTCAGCCCATCATGCCACTGGTTCGTCGGCGATGTCCGAGTCGCCATACAATAAAGGTGAGGTCAATGCTGAGTGCTGAGCGCCGCTGATCAGCTACGGCGAAGGCTAAGGTGAGTTGGCCGGCACCAACGTATGGAGGACTGGTTGTGGAACGCGATGTCAATGAAAGAGGCCAGGTTTGCGGATGATTCCAGTTGGTGGCAAGACTTAAAGAAGCTCGTGGCCTTGTCCTTGTCTGGCTTAATCATCGACAGGCTGCACGCGCTTCTTCCTTTTTGCCTCATATCGCCCTGTGAATTTCGATACGCCCTGCTTTCTCCTTCCCTCGTAGGTTACCATTAAATACCATCTCCGAGCTACTATACTCCAGTTATCTTGTGACGTCCAAAAAATCTCTCTGGGTCCCAGGGGGTGAAAGTATGCATTGCTTCTCGAGTCCTGCCGAGTTTCAGACACAAAAAGGCCCTAACCCGGAATTGAACCGGGGACCACCTCGAGATCCGGAGACCCTAACAAGGTATCATACTACTAGACCATCAGGGCGTGGAGAATTTCCACACACATGATATTCCAACCTAACTGCGGCCTGTCAGCGTCGACAAAGAAAATCCAACCTCAATCCAATCAAACCACTGCCCTGGTTCAAGTCGGATGGAAGTAGATAATTCTAATTTAAACTCAATACACCATGTTGGATAGGATTCGGAGGGTGCAAATATGGACATGCAAGGAAAACACAGAATGAAAAGCTCGATCAACCCATGCCCTCGATATGAGTCAAACCCGTGTCAACCAACTGCACAACCGGTCGAAGATTTGAAGTGCAGGATCTGCCGCGTGATAGACTAAGCCATCACAGAATTCGATGTTTCCTTGCCGACCCGGTCATAGCACCAGAAAGAAAAGAACAGCAAAGAAAAAGTAGTGGATCCAATGCATATGCCCTCGATGGGGGTCGAACCCATATCGTCCACGGAAAGCATTTACGCTGCGTCGATTGCCAGTGGAGGATCTACCGTTGATATACGAGAGCTTTGACAGGTATGAGGACTGGTAAATTGGCATGTTGCTTAATAGAAGTGGAGTTATCACAAAAGAACTCGGAGGTGCCTCTTATGCTAAGAACGGTGTACAAAAGGGAGCACTGGTACTGCGAGACCACAGAAATTGAAGCTGTTCAGATCTATGCCCCCGGCGGGATTCGAACCCGCGTCGTCCACGGAATTGGATTTCCTTTTTCTACACAATTGAGGTGGGTGATCTACCGCTGATCTACAAGGACAACAATCCAATTGAAATAAATAGCTGCTACCTTGGTCGCATAAGTGGTATTCACAGTAGCCATTTTTCGGCTCCTTTTTGCTTCCTTTTTCTCCCCTTTTTGCAAGTTCTCTGCCATTCAAGCAAAAAGTGAGGAAAAGAGGAGCAAAAAATGGGCTACTGTGAACAATCAAGCATCAGATTTTCGACAAAAGGGAACAAAAAGGAGAACATGTGTGTTCATAATTACTTCCTGGAAAATGTGCGGTCAGAAGGGGTATTCCACTGCATTGCATGTGGATTCAACTGTACTTTGACCATATATTCCACCAACAACCAGGCGGAACGATCCTTTCAGTCCAAAGTTGAGAAAATAAGAGGGAGCAAAAAAGGGCCCTTTTTAAAAAATGAGCTCATGGTCTCCATTTTTCGAAAAGGGCCCTTTTGCGTTCTCTTTTCTTGTTCCTTATTTACTCACTCTTTCAAAAAGGGAGGGAAAAGGGAATGGAAAAGGACGCAAAAAGGAGCCGAAAAATGGCTACTGTGAATACCACTATAGTTAGTGAGTGGACACGAAGGTGTTTTCTGGCTCTTTCTGCCGTAGCTGGACATTGAAAGTTGTGCGTGTATCAAATGGTTAAAAAGTACTAGCTTATGTTCGCCATCCCTCAGCTCATCCGAGGAGGGGGTTTTCTCGTGTTGGAGTGTAGCGTGAATAAAAACTGATCTGGAGGGGCAGCAAAACAGTCGTTCTGCGTCCACACGCCCTCGGCGGGAATCGAACCCGCATCGTCCACATAACTCTTGGAGATGTTCCATAATGAATGTGGAGGATCTGCCACTGATCTACGAGGGCGTGATTGTAGAAGATTGCAGAGTTTGGAGAGCTGTATATGCCACCGCAGCAACTTGAAGGCCAGAAGGAAGGCGATCCAAATCAATGAGTTTGGGGCTTTCAAGACAAAGGCGTTTCTGACTCCGAGAAGGAGAAAGTTATGGAATGATGGGCTTCGCGAGCAGGTAGTTGAAATTTTGAAGACTGGTTGAATCCTCCGCCTTTGGTTGAATCCCAAGGCGGAGGACAATTCAAAATTCAAAATGACAACGACAATGTCCTAGGAGTGAAATGAAGGGGAAGCCCCGGAACGGAATTGCTAAATCAAAAGCAATGATGTTGGAATCAGGTTGAACCACAACCAAATGAAACTGTTTTAATTTTCCGAACCACATGCACCCCCACCAAAGCGAGTCAACACGTGCTGTAGATGCCGCAGAGCTCCGTCGAAGAAGCAGACCGGTGAGACTGCGTCTTCCATGGAGTGAACCTGTTCCGGTGTATCATCGCGCTTTGGGTTGGCTGCACTCGGCATCGTCTTCGGAACAATCGGTGGCAGTGCATCGACGGCACGCTTTCTTTCGACGACGACCATCCACTTTTGAGAAAACTTACATACGAGGGAGGCATACGGTATTTTGGCACTTGCTGTGCACTCTCAGACGAACGCGTAGCGCAACGCACATAACGACTCATTCGGTCCGACGAAGGGTGGAGAATTCGCACTCAAAATTAAATCTTGCCCTCACTAACAGGCGAGCTAGGACCAGGCTAGGACTTTGGGAGATCTTTTGCGGGTGGCCTGCCGTCGACGGGACTCTGCAACGGAGGATTGAAGACGCACGGTCCTCAGTCGTGTTCATCGCATCGGAATCGGAATTCAGCCTGTGCGCGTCAAACAGCTGAATCCTCTGATACTGGACTCGACCTCTCACCCTCGCCATCGACGCCATTGCGCTCGGCTGGCAACAGCGAGCCTCCTGCGCCTTCGCGGCGTCGCCCAGGGCCCAGTGCAACCGCAAGCAACACCTCACCGACGCCGACGCCCTTCACGTTCGCCAAGCGTCAGGAGCCCTCCGTCCCGACGTCCCTTTCCTGACTATTACTCAAGTCCTCGAACGCGAGCACAGCGGAGTCGACGAAGGAGCTGGACGCAAAGGACTGTGGTAGGTTCCTTCCCCTCACTTCTCCCTCTCTTCCATTCCCTCTTCCCTGCCACTTCTCCCTCCATCCTGTTTCCCTCCCCTCCTCCTCTTCCTTCCTCCTCCTTCTTCCTCCTCCGTGCTTCCTTTTCCGCCTTGGATAGGGTTATGAATTCTAACGGCTAAACCGCGCAGACACCGGCTCACTCTGCCCATCGCAGCCAGCTATCTCCTCCGTCTCTACCCCGCTGCGCACCACCCAATCACCTGTCCGCATGCGGCCTCGTAACGCTGCGTGGCGCGTATAAGCATCCCCGTGAGTACATGTCGACGATCCGGCAGGGGGTGTATTGGCTTCCGGGGGTGATGTCGCTGCGCTCGGTGCGGCGGGGGTGCGGGAACGACGAGCACGGGGAAGGCAGAGTACCGCCAAAGCGTCCGCATCGGCGTCAGCGTCCAGCACCAAGCCAGCCAGGATAAACCAGCAGCACGCACGCCACGTCCGCGTTTTACACGCCTGCCACCTCCGCCTTCGCACAAGCCCGACATCAGCACAAATGCCTTACCCCCCTTCACGCAAGCCCCGTGCACAAGACGAAAGGGGAGCCGGACACAAACGGCGGGTCCTCGTGCTCGCACGTCTACGCACCCTGGCAGCCCGCCCAAGTCCACGTTTCGTCGAAAGCCCAGCACCAAACGAGGACCACCCCACGCACATCAGCAGCATGACACACATCACCTCCGCGTCCAGGCTCACCACCACAGCGCCTCGCCGGAGTCGTGCGCCGCGTCTTTGGCGCGCGCGCACACAGCACGCACGCAAGCCCACCACAAGTGCGCCACCCTCGCCGAACACCGTAGGTAGCCGTGACGTCGAATGCCACGGTCCAACAGGGCAGCCGCGACTTTCCAAAACCAGTGAGAGCCCTTGGGCCTCCGCCCCCAGCACTCGCGCCTCTGCGTTCCACGAGCACCTCAGTCTTGTCAAAGACCTGCAAAACGAGCCGCGCCCCGTGTCCTTGGCGCGCACGCTGCGTTCAAGCACAGTTGCCGCAAGCACGCTGTCGGCGCCGCTGCCGCCTAATCTCACCACGAGCACCACGCAGACACCCTCCACGTACACCAAGGCTAAAGGCGCGGCTTTCGCCTGCACGCACGCACGCATGCACGACGCATGCTGCTTCCGCGCTTAAACCAAAGGCGAGCGCCTCACAGTCGAAGACGTGCAAAATGCCACGCGTGTCGTGTCGCCGGCGGGCCCGCACGCCTATCACGACCAGCGGGCGTCTTCCAAGTCACCTCTGCCCCGCGCCACAGCCCACCAGCAGCGCCTCGGCTTTGCCGAATCACGACGGCGGCAAGGCTTCCATGCAGATGCACCCCAAGTCGTCCGCGACCAAAGGCGCGTCTTCCACTTCCAGGACGCACACCGCCTCCGCCTCCGCTTCCGCACACGACGAAATATTAATGGGGCCTCCACGTAGATGAAGAGCAAAGACGCTTCTTTCACCATCCCGACACATGTCGCCTCCACCTCCTCGCCCAGCACCAGCGCCCCACGGCCTTGTCGAAGACGTGCAGTACGAGCCAGGTCAGACCAACGAAATTCGGCTTCCACGTAAAAAGAAGACCGAGGGCGCGTTTTCTACTAACACCATGCACACCAGCGCCACGACCAAGCCCGAGTCCACCCCACCATGAGCGCCTCACCCTTGCCGAAGACGTGAAAGACAAGCTGCGCCTCATGCTGCCGGACACCGCGTCTGGGCGCTCCACTGCGTCCACGCACAGCAGCACGCACACCGCCGCGCCCAAGCCCACTATGAGCGCCTCGCCGAAGTGGTGCAAGACCACGACGACCGCAGCTGATCGGATTAATCCGTTCCATTACTTGGTGGACAATAGGATTTTTATTCTACTACAAATTGTGTAATCCTAACTCATGTTCTATCTAAGTAATCTACGAGTAATGTAAAGCATGATTGGAGTGAATCTGCATAAGAAAGTCAGAAACGGAGTCGCGGGGGTCGTCGTCGGAGGGGGATAGGATAGGATAGGATAGGACTCACGGCAGAGTGTGTGCCTTTGCGAAAGGATTAGAAGGGAGTTGAGATAGGATAGGATAAAATTTACCTTTTATCGCGTATCCTATCCGGATCAGAATTGGAGTTAGGATACGATAGGATTCACCGTTTATCGTAGGTAGAGGAAAAGCCAAGTCTCCACGCCAGAGAATGAGAACAAAAATTGGAGTTAGGATAGGATAGGATTCACCGTATATCCTATCCGTCCCACCAGATAGGATACGGTCCTCAAGGCGTGCGTCGCCAAGGTCGAGTAGAGCGACGACCTATCCTATCCTACGTATCCTATCCTATTAGATAACGGGCAGATAGTCCTTGGATCAAACATCAGCGAGGCGTCACCGTACGCAAAGCGTTTCGCACGCACCTTGTAGCTGTCCGAAAGCTTTTGGTTCAACCGGCCTTTTTTCCGTAGCTCCTCCTCCGCCGCCGCCTCCTCGGCCTCCCGATCCTTCTCGGCCAACCCCGGAGCTGACTTATGCAGCTCGATGCAGTCCTCCGCGAGCTTCGTGTACATGACATCCTTCAGGTGAGCGTACGCTGCTCGCCCTGATCTCGACACATTCATGCCCGCAATCGCCCTGAATGCGGCGGCATTTTTCCGGAATGATTCGATCGTCCGAGGGAATTCCTCCTCCAAAAGCTCTTTCTGCTCTACAGCGCGATCCCGATTCGCGCGGTCGCGACACCATTTAGCACGGTCCACTATCGCTTGTAATCAGCAAAAACGCATGGTCGTAATGAATGGTTACTTACTCTCGACACTCCACTCCTTCTGCTCCCGCGGGGTCAAGTTTGCGGGGCGGCCTACCGTCCAGAACCAAGGGTCCACAGCGCCACTGTCCCCCATCTTGGGCGCATCCCTTGTGTTTTTGGCGTACAGTTCGTCGTTAATAAGGGGCTGGAGGCTCGGATCTGACAGCCCTAGATTCAGCAACGCTGCTCGCGCAACACGATACTGGTCTGCAGCTACAATTCTGTCGTTCGCCAACGTTCGCAGGAAGTTCTGCGCCCGCGTGTTTGCGGACTGGCCTTTGACCTGCGTGATTTTGAATGCGACATTGAAGTTGAAAGTTTTGATGGCGACGCGAACATCCTCCAACGCATCGTGAGCCTGCCCCTCGCGCAACGTAAACTCCGTTCTCGCGAGATCCTGCATCCCCAAAGTGATGCGCCGAGTTTCATTGAACGACGACGGCAGAAATAACTTCTGCTTCTCCACGGTAATCGAGCTTTCGGCTCCGATTTCGGATTGCAGCGCTGGGAAGCGTTCATACTGGGAAACGCGCCAGACAGTCAGCTCCTTGCGCAGACTGGCTTTGGCTGCTACTGCGTTGTCGGTCGTAGAAGTTCTCAGCGTCCTGGTAATTTTATGTCTATCCGGATTGATCAGCAACGAGACCATACAAGGCGTGGATAAACTCACTGCAGCTGCTCAAGACGCAACCCTTTCGAAATGAACTCGGTATTTCCACCACATACAGTTCCCCGCTCGATGCTTTTCGCCAGCTCCGCAGTTATCAGCTTTTCGTAGGCGCCGCGATGCGTTGGCGGTCCTGGCTTGCACATCAGACGACGTGCTAATCAATCCGTGCAGGCGCGTCACATACCGTTCTTGAGATTAACCTGATAGGGGCTCCAATATACACCCTTACGGAATTCCCATTTCTTGGGTAACGCCGTCCATTCTGCGAGAAGCTCGGGGTCGGTGGCTTCCGAGAGCTGCTCGAACACGGGAGATCGCTTGCGCACTGCTGCGCAGGCCTCGCGATACATTCTAAGCAGCGTTTCTCCT